TTTGTGTGAGTTCTTGCAAGATGAGGTTGTAGGGGTGCATCAAGGAGAAGCTAATGGTGCACTCTTGATTAGGAGGTGCCTTGGTTCAAATCAAGTGATCTCTAGTACTGGCAGCAATAATAAAATATAAGGTTATATGTTTTCTGAATTATGGTGGTTGAAGGGGTAGGATAGGTTGAGTGGGTTTAAGAAGAGATTGATTTGGTTGAATAAGAAGCAAAATATTTTAACACTTTGTAGTGAATTTGTAATTATGTACCCATAGAAAGTCTAGACCTACATTTGTTGTTTCTCACATGTCATGTTTCACTAATATGTAATTCATCAATGGATTTCCTGGTTATTGTTTATGAAGATATTGAATTGAACAATAGGAATGGCTTGCTCAAACTTGGATCTTGTTTCATTTCCTTGTTTTGCATAACTTCTAAGGATCAACTATTCTGATATTATACGCAATACCTTTTTCAGGAATGAATAGCATTTATCCTAGTGACTTGGTTCCATTTACAAGAAGACCACTTTTTCTAGTCATTGACTCTGACAACAGAGAAGCTTTTGAGGTAAGTATATTAACTCTATTTTGTTATTACACATCCTTTAGTTAGAAATTTCTAGATGTGTGTATGAGGGTTGGACTGGAATCTCAATAATTTTTTTTACCTGTAAAGAAGTTTAGGGATTTAAAATTGAAGATATGCTGTGAGGTTTGAAATGTCAAGGGTAGCTGGATAATCTCTTGTTACAGCTCAATAGATTTATGGTCCATAGATTAGCTCTAAGTGTTTTAAGCAAATAAGTTTATGTTTAAAGTTTGCAGTGCTCTCGTTCTGCAGCATTTAGTATTACGCCACCAAACATCTTTCTGCAAAAATATATACAATATCTGCTGCAAGTTCCTAACTCTCCCCTTATGTTACATCTCTTAAAATTTTCATATGGCCTCGTTGGATGCACTGATCATTCCTAAATTGGCTAATTTCTTAAAGTTCACAAAATGACTGAAGGTTGAGTACTGTCTTTGGTAGTGATTTCAAATTTCCACAAATGTGTGATATTGTTCTCTGAAGAAGCTGTTAATGTATGTAGTAATTGGGTACTGTTAACTTGCATAGTCAGTTATATCTACTCCCCAAAGAATCAGATGACACCTAGATGTATGTACCTGTCACTATGTAATAATCTTAACCTTCCTCTCTCTCTCGCTCTCTCTCCACTGAGCAGAATTATTGGTATGGTAGCTTGATGAGTGAGACCTATGCTCATTTTTCCCCCATTTTCCCTCTTCTTAAAATTCATTTAAGGATCAGTAGAAATCTCTATTACTCTAAACTATAGAGAAGATAATTAATGTTTAAAATGTGCTCAGGCCATAAATGGAGTGCAAAGAGGTGAAACACCTGCAATGCTCCTATCTTCTAGTTCTTCATATCACATTGCTTCTATTGGTTCCTCTCGTCAGTCAAGTGGAAGCCTGTTCACTATTTTCCTCACAGCTCCTTTGCAGGCTTTCTGTTTATTGATCGGAATTTCAGGATCTGACATTGACATGGTGCGTAAAAAGTTGACACTTTTTTCTCTTCTTACTTGAAAAATACATTTATTTAGTGTTTCCTAAAAAGTTATGGAATGAAAACGTATCAGGATACATATAACAAGGCCGAGAAGCTTCTTTCCGGTTCATTTAGTGACTGGGGGTCTACTTTGGTGACATCAGACACTATTGATCCTGTTTGGGCACAGATTTTGAGTGACCCATTCCTAAGGCGACTCCTTTTGCGGTATTATTTTATTTCTTCTTCGCTCTTATGTAAAAGTATGTAATGTGCAGCCCTGCAGAGTCTCTAGCGTTTTATTCTTCTTCTTTTTATTTATATTTATTTATTTATTTATTTTTTGTTGTTGTAATTTTGTCTACCACTATGAAGCTTTATGGACTGCTCTTACAAACACATCTTTTGGTTCTTTGTCACTGTGAGCATGGAAAATCAAACCTTTATCAGCTCTTTGTATTAATGCTCTCAAATTGGTTAACCTTTTCATCTCTTTGCTTATTTTTTCCTAGAGTTCTTATCTCCTGGGCGAACGGTTCCTTGTCATCTTAGTGTTTCTCTCCAGTACTTAAGTTGTACAAATTCTGCTCAATTGTATTTCCCTTGTGTGTGTGATACATGTATCTCTGTATAAATTATGTCTTCTTCCTTCAGGTTCCTATTTTGTCGGGCAGCGCTATCACTCTATGCTCCAACTTTCAATAAGAAGGAATTTATTCCCAAATGTATACCGTGTCTTCCAGCGTCCGTCCTGCCAACGACAGCAGCATGTCAAACTGTAATTTTGCAGATAGCGAACGTCTTTGGAGCCACAGGCAAGTTCATCTTTTCAGAAGGACTTGAACTCCCAGAAAATAGACAGGGTGACTCGGAATCAATGTCATCTTGATGAATCATATGGGGCAAAGGACATTAGAGAAGAGATAGACAAATGTATGGTTTGTGAGTTCCCTGTTGGTGTTTCAGATTCTTGGTGTTTGTATAGGAAATTTCTAAGCCTTCAACAACGTCCAAGATGATGCAAAACCTTTGTAAGAGACAAGTTGGACTTTGGATTTATTATTTTCTTTTTTATTAAATGGAAAGAAAAACAAAAATTGATGTCTGTATAATAGAAGATAGCTCTTCTCCTGGCAATCCACCCGAGTGACCCGTCCTAGTTGAATCAGGTTGGCCTGGATTTCAGTTTTCCCTCGAGTCAAGTCGTAAGCCTTGCTGCCCAACATCTCATTTAGGTGCAACGTTATTTTTGTAAACTATTGTGGATGATTTATACTCATTGCACTCGAATTTTCTTTATTGCAAATCTGAAACACAAACTGTCAAAATATTTATTTTATTTCATTGATACTCAATTAATCATAACATCTGGAAAAAAAAATAATCATGACATACAAAAAAGCAGGGTCCAAAATGGCAGTGAATTTCACTCAATGAGGCATATATTTTTCATGTACATTGGAATTATTTGATCAACAGTGTCTACACAACCCAATAAAATGGGGTGGACTGACCACACATGCACGGTTCCGTTGATGAGTTTTATTGAGAATACTATCCAAACCAAATCATCAATTTTCAGTTTGGTTCCGTTTAAAAAAGAAAAAATTACTATACCCTAAATTGGAAAAATATCAGGCCAGTCATTCTATGTATCTGGATTAACAACATTTGCGTGCTTACTATGCTTTCATCTTTGTATTAACTTTTTATGGGTATTTGTATTGACCTCTTGTGGCTTATGGTCTCTGTACCTAATTTATGAATAATTATTGCTTTTCTCTATTGAAAAGTGGAAATGGATCTTGACTTGCAGATCAATGGTCTCAAGTTCGACCTTATGACATATTGATAGTGTTGTATTAAAAATAAAAACAAAAGCAAAAACAATGGGATGAGTTATAAAATAGAGATGAGAAATAAAAGTCAGACGAGGAAGAAAATTAAAAGAGAGAGGAGAGAAGATTAGAAATGCTGGAATTGGGAAAGGAATGGGAAGATGTCTGGTGAAGAGTGAGCCCATAAGTTAGTGAGGTCATATATCTATTTGGAAGGAAGCTACCCGGAGGTCGCTCACTTGGTCCACAAGAAATCCTTTTTGTATATAATATTATTAGTGTTATCCGAGACGTTTTTCCCGTAGGCTTGGCCCACAGTCGGAGGGCTTTTACTTGCCCTCCAAGAAACTGGCTTCAAAAAAAAAACATCAAACTTCGCCTACCTCGTCGGCAGAAAGCAGGAGCAATAAAAGCTTACAATTTTAAACAGAGAGAGAGAGAAGGTAGCGAGAAGAAGAAGAAGAAGCTCTGCCCTTTTTTTCTACTACCAGGTACTGAATGCTCTCTCAACTCATCTTTGATTCCTTTCTTTTTTTTTTTTTTTGTTCTGGCAGAATTTTTAAACTGTAATTAGGGTTTGGTTTTGAGGAGTTCTTCTGCTTCCTCTTCTTCAATTCAAATTTCGGTGAAACAAGACGGCATATGTTTATGGGTAATCAGTCGTATTTAGAACAAAAATAAATAAATAAATAGAGAGAGAGAGAGAGACCTCAAGACCAAGGCCTTTGATGTGGGAATGAGTGGCTATGCGGTTCTTCTTGGTAGTGGACTGAACCTCTTCTATCCTCACCTTGTCCATAAGTTGCAGTGGAGCTGTGAGGCCTCTCTCTCTCTCTCTCTCTCTCTCTCTCTCTCTCTCACTTCTCTTTGATGAAGCTGCTTTGGTTTCTCCGAAAAGAAGCGATCAGGCGAAAGGGTTAGGCGAGAGGGATGTAAATTCGGGGGTGTAAAGCTACTTTTACATCCCTTTACACCTCCGGGGATGTAAATATGTTTTTTGCTCCAATGGGGGATGTAAATTCGGGGGTGTAGCCTTGGGTCCCAGCCTTTTATGTTGACTTTTCTTCATTTTTTTTCTCTTTTCTCGGGTGGGTCCCGCCTGCAAGGGATGTAAAAATAGATGTAAATATATATTTTATTTGACATCCCCATGGTGGTGATGTATATTTACATCCATTTACATCTCCCCATTAGAGACGATTCCGGTGACTCGGAGTGTATATTTAACATAAACCCCCATATACACCTCCCCACTGTGGATGCTCTTATGTTGCTGTGCGTCAGGGCAAAAAGGCCATTGTACTGTTCATTAGTCAACATAATTAAAAGGGCAACCAGTTAAGTAGGGGCACAAACGTCATTTCATTATTTCCAATGAACAGTTTAGGAAAAGTAACTCGGATTCAGTTTTAGTATATAAAATATAATTTCTTCAGAATCTCAGATTTTCCAATTTGTTTATGCCCGCTTTACATGTTTATAGTATATGATACCGTGATATTTCAGGCATTGCATGTGGAATTTATTTGCGTAATTGATTATGTATTTTCTTTTTATCAGTTAGGTTTCAGTATCAAGATCATCTTAACTCTAAGCTCTTAGCATTGAAATGGGGATTGATGGTCGAGTTTTAGAATCTGTTGATACATCAAACAGTGTAATATTCATAGGTAAGAAGAAATCATCCAAAAAGAAAGACAATTGTAATATTTTTACTACATTGAGTGAAGAAGCTGGGGTTGGGAGTGACGTTATGGATGTAGTTGAACACGAAAAATCAAGTACCGGAACTGGTAAAATTGAAGCTCTTGATTATGAAGTTATGAAGAGTAAAGAGGTTCCAGAAACTTCAAAAAGTAGGAAAAAGAAGAAGACTGGAAGGACTGCTCAAGAAGAAGATGATTTGGATAAGATTCTTTCTGAGCTGGGTGAGGGGTGTTCGACATCGAAACCTGCTGCTCTGCCTAAGCAAGAGGAGATTGAACCTGATCTAGTTGCCTCAGTCGATGGTCCCGCTGAGAAGGATGGTGAAGAAGAAGTTCCTCCTACTGTGCTGTCTGCGGCAGCAAAGAAGAAGAAAAAGAAGAAGGAAAAGGAGAAAAAGGCAGCAGCTGCAGGGGATGCTACTTCTTCTGTGGTACTTGCAAAAGATAAAGGATGCTAGAGATCATCTTGCTGCTGCTGGGGTTTCCTTTGATGATGATGATATTGTGATCTTGGCTCTTAATGGTCTTCCCCTAGAATATAATACGTTTCGGTGTATGGTTCGAGGCAGGGAAAATGTGCTCTCTCTCAAAGATTTTAGATCTCAGTTGCTTGCTGAAGAGGCCATTCTTGAACATACTACCTCTGCCACTCCTTTTGCCTCTGCGATGATGGCGAACAATCAAGGGTTCAAAGGAAAATCTCTTGTTCTTGCTGACACTTCCACATCTATCCCATCTTCTATTTCATCTAGCCACAATGGTGGTGTCAATAGTGGTGTCAATGGAGGTTTCCACTCTAGCTCTAATGGTGGCTCTTTTTCACATAATGGTGGTTTCCACTCTGGCCCTAATAGAGGTTCCTTCTATCGAGAAAGAGGCAGACCTCGGCATCAGTTTTCATCTGGTCCAAGACCATATCAAGCTCCACCTAATTCTGGTCCTGGCATCCTTGGTTCGGGTACTGATATTCCAATTTGTCAAATATGCAACAAGAAAGGTCATCTAGCTGCTGATTGTTATCAACGACATCAGCAATTCACAGGTCCTAATTCATCTGTTCAATGCCAAATTTGTTGGAAATATGGCCACACCGCTATTCAATGTTACCACAGGGGCAATTTTTCCTATCAAGGCAAACCTCCTTCATCCAATCTTACTGCAATGCATGCCAATTGTTCTCCTTCCTCATCAACTGAGCAATTTTGGGTAGCTGACACTGGAGCAACAGCCCATATGACTTCTGATTTGTCTCAACTTAGTCTTGCTACCCCTTTCTCTGGAAATGAGACAATCACCACTGCAGGGGGTTCAGGTTTGAATATTTCTAGTGTTGGCTCTTCTTCCTTGAATACTCCTCAGTGTTCTTTACAATTATCGAAAGTTTTACATGTGCCAAAGATATCTCAGCATTTGCTTTCAGTGCATCGGTTATGTAAAGATAATAACTGCAGCTTTATATGTGATGCCTTTGGCTTTTGGATTCAGGACAAACTCACGGGGAGTGTTCTTCTCAAGGGACTGTGTAGAGCTGGCCTATATTCTATTCCTTTCTTTCCTTCACAACCTCATCCTACTCAAGCTGCTTCTCTCATCAAACAACATTTCTGCTTTTTTGGACATCCAGTAAATACCAGTTTGTGGCACAAACGATTTGGTCATCCCTCCAATATTATTACTACTGCTCTTTTACGTCAATCACAGGTTCCTTTTTCTTCAGACAAAGTCCAATCTGTCTGTCATCATTGTTTAGAAGGCAAACTAGCTAAACTTCCTTTTCATTATCCAGCAGCAAAATCTGTAAACCCTTTAGAAGTGATTCATAGTGATGTGTGGGGTCCTTCTCCAACAATATCTGTTGAGGGGTTCAAATATTATGTTAGCTTTGTAGATGAGTGTACTCGATTTACTTGGATCTTTCCAATGTTCAATAAAGCAGAAGTTTACTCTATTTTTGTAAATTTTCATGCTTACTTAGTCACTCAGTTCTCTGCTTCTCTTAAAGTCTTTCAAAGTGATGGAGGTGGTGAGTATCTTAGTCATAAATTTCAGCATTATCTTCTTGCTAGAGGTATCATTCATCATAAATCTTGTCCCTATACACCTGAACAAAATGGCTTAGCTGAGAGAAAACACAGACACATCTT